ACCGATAGCCTCGTGGGCAGCGCATTGACATGTAGCGCCATTGTACTTTGGGTGTCCCGTGTTCGAGTCCCGGCTCACGGACCATTCCCATCCCCACTTCGCTTCCTGTATCACTAGTATCCTATCAATAAATGCCAAAAATAAAAGCAAATAGTAAGAATAAAAGAAAATACTAAGACAATGCAGCTGCATAATTTTTTCATGATGCAATGCATGCTGGGAGCCATGGATGAGTTATGATTGGTGCACCTACATGCTCTATTGAATATGTTTGCAGGAATTTCCCTCATTATAAACTCAAACAGATTAAACATAATTCTATTATACAGAGATTTAAGGGAAGAAATCCATGACTTTTCCAAAATTTTTCCAGACTTGGAAACGACTGTTTTTAAAATTTCATGACTGTTTCAATTTTTGTCATGACTGTAAGAAGATGCACATTGTTAATCACATATGCTGGTACTACATTGCACAAATGCTCCGTTACCTGAGTCTGTTAAGAGATTCAAACTACATATTACTAATGTCAAGGGTCAAGAGGCCAACTAAAGCAAATGCTTATCTTCACAACGGTGACTTCAAATTTGATTATTTTCAATAAAATCTAAACCTCTGGTAATTCTTATAAAGACATTTTTAAACGCATGACAAATAAAGTCTAACTGGTTAGTAATGCATGAAGCTGGTGATGCTGTTTGTGGAGATGATTAATCATCTTCTGCTGAGATCTTGAGAGATTTAATGTATTTTATTTCTGCTGCTTGTTAACAGCAGATGTTCATCACTAATGCACAATCATCATTTAATTAGTCGCTTAATTATCTCATTAATTTTAACTCTTTGAGGACTTGGGATTTGACTTGAGACTTGCTTGTGACTTGAAAGGAATGACTTGGTCCCACCTCTGGTGAAATCAGTTGGCTGAGTTCATGGGTGGAATAAACATATGGCAGGACTTTTACTTTCCGACCCCTGGACTTTCCACCTCTGATGCTAGGAGCCATGAGTTTTATATCAGGGGTGCCCAAACTCGGCCCTGGAGGGCCGTGTCCTGCAGAGTTTAGCTATCTTTGGCCAGCTATCCAGTGCGTTGTGATTGGCCGAATACCTCAAGCGTATGATGGAAATGTTACGCCCCTTACCATATTGTGATGCCTTGTCCCGGCCGGAGCAATGAGACAAAAACATTCAAACCCATTATAAACGTGGCATTTGTTGCATCCAGTGGGGACATAATTATGGATTATAATGACTTATACTGTATTTTTACGCATTGCATTGCATCGCGCTGCGTAAACATAAAACCATGTCTGCATTTGTGATCGGAGAAATGACAAACAACAAGCACTACTCTAAGAGTTGGGACTTTCAAGTCACAAGCAAATCTTCAAATCATAAGTGACGTGACATGTGGCCAAGTATGGTGACCCATACTAGGCATTAGTGTTCTGCATTTATCCCATCCAAAGTGCACACACATAGCAGTGAACACACACCATGAACACACACCCGGCGCAGTGGGCAGTCATTTTTTTTTGCTGCGGCGCCCGGAGAGCAGTTGGGGGTTCGGTGCCTTGCTCAAGGGCACCTCAGTCATGTATTGAAGGTGGGAGCAAGAGCCGTACATTCACTCCCCCCACCTACAATCCCTGCCAGTACGAGACTCGAACCCGCAAAAAAACCTTTGGGTTACGAGTCCGACTCTCTAACCATTAGTCATATCACAAGTCCTCAAAGAGTTAAATTTAATGAGATAATTAAGTGACTAATTAAATGACGATTGTACATTAGTGATGAACACCTGCTGTTATTGAGAATTACAGCGGATCAGCTGTTGATGTTTTATTGGTTAAAATGATGTCCCCATCATGGAGATCAGTGTTTATTTTAGTTGCGCTCTTGACCCTTGACAATGTGTTAAATCTTTCTTCATTGCAATGCATGAGGTGATGTGACACAGAGAGATCAGTGCTATGCAGTGAGTAGCTATTAGCCGTTTTTATATGATGAAATAGTTATCATGAGCTGACCTAATTACAATCAAAAAATGTTATATAAAGTTATGTTATGCATAATCAATTCTGTGTAACTACAGCATATTAAAGAAAGTGCTGTTCTAATAGTTACGTCGAATGTATTTTAAATCTTAGAAATGCATATAAGCATTTGATCTCCAGTGCTATTATACGGGGAAGAACCAGCTGAAGAACAGCAGAGTCCTGGTAGAAAGTTTGGAGATGGTATTAAAGTAGCTCAGTTTAAATGTATTGTATGAATTGCCCTTACTCTGGAATAAAAAATACGGGGTGTCTAGTAATTGTCTAACTATTGTCTAGTTAAAAGGGATTGTAACACATCAGCTCCAGTGGTGCAGAAGGTTAAGTGTGTGCTTTTTGCTTTTTAACGCGATCGATCAGGGGTTCGATCCCACCTTTTGCCAAACTTTTCAAATCTCTTATCACATCGTAAAGGCATTTATTTTCAATAAAAATTAAGGAAATAATCAAAAAGTTGAAAATAAAGTATGAGGTAGGGTTAGGGTAGGTGTAGGGAGGGCTTTATTGTACCAATAAGGTGGCATCCATTTAATAATTAAAATTATAATTTACACTCAATACGTTATTATTGTATATGGTTTTATAATGTACTGCAATACTGAAGTGCAGATAATTGCCACTATTTGCAACAAGTAGTATACTTGATAGTAGAAATCCTGCTATTTTAACATAGTGTAACTAGGTATTTGCACTTAGTGTAAATAGCATATTGCTAAAAATACTGCTTTTTTCACTTAGTGTAAATAGAATCCATTGCTAATACGAGATTTGAAAAGGGAGGAAAAAAAAGTTTGGCAAAAGGTGGGATCGGATCCGGGTCGATCGCGTCAAAATGCCAAAGTCAAGCACTTAACCATCTGCTCCACTGGAGCTGATGCGCTACAGTCACTTTTAACTAAATGTAAATAAACACCCCGTATTTTTTTATTCCATAGTAAGGACAATTCATACAAAACATTTAAACTGAGCTACTTTAATACCATCTCCGAACTTTCTATCACGACTCTGCTGTTCTTCGGCTGGTTCTTCCCTGTATACGTATACGTCTAGTCCAGGCAGCGGGGAGTAATCCCAAACCAATGGCGCTGTCTCAAACTATACCTACCTTTTCCGGTTTGTCTGAATTGTCGTTGTGTTTTCTGACTGACTTAGTTTTTGAATTTGTCATTGTGTTTTCTGAAATGTTACTTAGATTTGCGTTTGTAATTTGTTATTTTGTTTTCAGAATTGTGATTTGTAAAACACTTCTCAGCCTCTGTAGAATTAAGACACACACAGGCATCAAGAACCAGCATATGAATCTCAACAATGGTGACAATCAACAAAAGCTTAGTGGGATTTTTTTATTTTTTCACAGTTCAGTAATATCTGAACATCAGTCAATAAACCAAAAGGAGACCACTTCATGATGTTCAGTCATCATAAGTTATAGGCAGAAAGTCTAAGCTCATCTGCAGCTTCAAGGTTTGATCCAACAATTGCATTGTGTGCAAATGTTTGCTGCGAAACAACATTGCAATCACTTAGAAGCAAATTATTTTGAATTAATATAAGGGTCAAGAGCCCAACTAAAGCAAATCTTGACCACAATTATAGTGGCATCGTGTGTTTGTGTGTTTTTTTTTGGGGGGGGGGGTTCGGTTGATTTCATCCAAGGCTGCTGCTGAAGTCAGATGTAGTTCTTGTGTTTCTCTTTTCTTCAATGATGTTGATTGTTAACAGCAGGTGTTCATCACTAATGCACAATCATAATTTAATTAGTCACTTAATTATATAATTAACTTTAACCCTTTGAGGACTTGGAATATGACTTGAAGACTTGCTTCTGTAGCGAATCAGCTCATGGGGAAATATGAATATTGGAAGGCCAAACAAAGTAGTTTCGCTTTCACAACGAAACAAGCGGCATGCTAGAGTGAGCAGCGGCCGGTGGTCTAGAGTGAGCAGAGGCTGGCTTGAGTGAGCGGTGGCGGGCGGACTTGAGTGAGCAGAGAATCTATTTTCTATTTTTAATCAGATTTATAGAAAATTGAGCCTTAATTTATTGTGCCTTAAAATTTTGCGGTCAGGCTTGAGAATGGGTCATGCCCACCGGCGGATTCGACGAAGGAGCGGCCGGCGGGCTTGTGGCAACCACATGTGATGACCCCAGGCTGGACTCCGCTTCGTCCATGGTGAAAGCCGATCCGGAAATCCAAAGCACGAAGTTGATGTATTTCCTCAGCGACCAGCACGGATCAGTTCCAGGCATGATGAAGCAGATATCGTCCTCTTTTGGAAGGCCAAACAAAGTAATTTTGGTTTCACAACGAAACACACAGCGCCTTCACGACATGGCTGCGGTGGCAAAAACAATACTACAGCGAGAATAAAAGTTACGCCTTCTTTCTTTGCGTGAACATTTGGGCGGCGTTATGCAAATCTTCCCACATCGTGATGTAGACATGTGGGGGCGTGTTAGAACGAGCCATTTTAGGTAGGCGTGGTTGACTTAGCTTTTATAAAGAAGATCTCTTTGGATTTGAGACTTTAGTCTTTGCAACTTTACAGATCTTCTTTATGCACCAAGAGCTTGTAACACTCCAAAGAGAAAGGAAAAACTGAAATCGCATCATATGACCCCTTTAATTCTCAATAAAGAACTTCTGTTTTAGATACTCCAGAAATAAAGTCTAACTGGTTAGTAATGCATGAAGCTGGTAATGTTGTTTGTGGAGTTGTTTAATTATCTTCTACTGAAATATTGAGAGATTTAATGAAAGAATGATTTCTCCTTCAGTCAGCAAGTCACTTTTGACTTGCTCACTGGGGGCTTTGGGAATTTAAGGCACAATTTTCTATAAATCTGATTAAAAATAGAAAATAGATTGTGGCAAGAACTATAAAACAAAAATAAATGAAAACAAACCAAAAATATTTCCAGTTGTATAAACCCTAAAATTTACAAGTGTTGGTACTCTAATGAAGAAGTTTCAAGCACTGACCTGTTGCATTCGCAATGATTCTAGTTCTCTCTCCAGGCGAGTACGCAGACGTCGTTCCAGCTGCTCACGTTTCTCACATGCGACTTGGAGTTGTGCTAGTGCCTGCTGCAACCGCTCCACCCTCTCCACATACTTCTGCTTTTTACTCAACTACAGCACACAGACAGACAGAAGAGAGATTTACTTGAGATGACTGACACTGTTTAGTGGGAGTTTTATATCAGGTCACTCCTTAATCCAAATCATCAACAAATTAATAATAACTATTTAATTAATTAAATGAATAATTATTTAATAATCCTTACGAATGTGGCCTTACAATCAGTATGTGGCTGGATTGTAAAGATAGGAGATTAAAAGTTCAATTGATCTATTGCCATGAGCCCATTCTGTATAATAAAACACAAACTCTGTTCAGAGATAGCACACAAGTAATGGTTCATAACTGCAGCCTAAAATCTGTCCCAGGTGATGTAAACTCCTGTGGATATCAGACATGTCCAAGGTGTCATTTTACTGGTAAAGCACAGCGGTTCTCAAACTTTTTGTACCAAGTACCACCTTGGAAATCATTTGGCTTTCCATAATGACCAACTTTAAATTTCAGTCAGTATGTGGCTGGATTGTAAAGATAGGAGATTAAAAGTTCAATTGATCTATTGCCATGAGCCCATTCTGTATAATAAAACACAAACTCTGTTCAGAGATAGCACACAAGTAATGGTTCATAACTGCAGCCTAAAATCTGTCCCAGGTGATGTAAACTCCTGTGGATATCAGACATGTCCAAAGCACAGCGGTTCTCAAACTTTTTGTACCAAGTACCACCTTGGAAATCATTTGGCTTTCCATAATGACCAACTTTAAATTTCAGTAGAGTACACTGTAAACACATTACACATTAAATATTTAAAAAAAAACAGTGAAATGCTTATCATAATAAGCCTTTGACAGAGTCACAAACTTCAAGAATCTGCACATGAACCTCAACAATAGTGACAATCAACAAAATATTCAGATCAGCTCTGATCATCACAAAACAAGCTTTTTGTTGAGATTCATGTGCTGATTCTTGACGTTTGTGTCAAAAAGCCTCCAAGACACTATATAATGATTAAATATAAAGTGAATCCCTGACTGACTTCACAAGACTGCGGTAAAAAAAGCAACATTAAAATCTAACAAATTCAGAGACAACGCTCATGATGTGATCAGGCTATATGTTGACTAACTCATCATCAATAAATAACAAGGTTTATCTGATCAGATTCTTCACTAGCAATGTTTGCTATAACAAACATGCTTTAAAAACACGCAATTTATAGCAGCCAAAGAAAAGCTGACATTAAAAAGCAGAGTTGGGACTTTCAAGTCACAAGCAAGTCTTCAAGTTATATCCCAAGTCCTCAAATAGTTAACGTTAATGAGATAATTAAGTGACTAATTAAATGATGATTGTACATTAGTGATAAACACCTGCTGTTATTAAGAATTACAGAGGATCAGATGTTGATGTTTAATTAGTTAAAATGATGCTACCATCATGGAGAACAGTGTTTGTTTTAGTTGGGCTCTTGAAACGTAACTTTTATGTTAGATTTCTCGCTACTTGAGGAGAATATAACTGTTATTATGTGAGGAGAGTTGGTCATTACAATCTGGCCAGATTACAATCAATCTAGTTAATATTCGTTAATGTGATCAGGCTTTGCATAATCAACCCTGAAAAACAGCAGTATGCAATCAAAGTGAATCTCTAAATGTTAAGTGAATGAATATTAAATTTATGAAGCACACCTGAACAATTGATCTCAAGAGCAGATTGGACACACAGACATCAAGAACCAGCATATGAATCTCAATAATGGTGACAATCATCAAAATGTTTCATGCTGCAATGCATGCTGGGCATGCATAGTACTGGTTACATAGTAAAAACTCCCATCATCATTTTCAAAATATGAAAAATTGTCACCACCACCACCACTGTTGAGGATCGTATGATAAGTGTTCATATCTAAAATCCTGCGCGATCAATAATTTGCAACTTTTAATAATGGAACCTCGTGGTGGCATTTGTTTAGTGGTTTTTTTTCTCTCTCTTAAATTCAATAATGCTGAATATCAGTCAATAAACCAGAGAAAGACCACTTTCTGTATGTTCATTCATCATGAACTACAGATAAAAAGTGTAAGCTCAGCTGATTCTTCAATGTTTGATTCAGCAATGCACAAGCGTTTGCTGTGAAAAAGCATTGTAATTGTTTTGAATTAGCAAAAGGGTCAAGAGACTGTCTAAAGCAAACCTTGACCGCAATTATGGTGTGCAGTTTCTTTTTTTCTCAGCTTGTTTCATCCAAGGCTGTGGCTAAAGTCAGATGTATTTCTTGTGTTTCTCTTTTCTTTAATGGTGGTGATTGTTAACAGCAGGTGTTCATTACTAATGCACAATGGTCCGTGTAACCCTTTGCAGTTCTTTGTTCAATTCGCACCATCAAAATTAACCAAATGAAAAGCTGGCTTCAAACTTTCATTTTCAATTTCTTTTGGAGCAATTTACAAATGGATAATTGTCTCTCATTTTAATTTTATGTGTTTGGGAATTTTGAACGCAGGTGCTGAGGAGGTGCTAGATCATTGACAGAGGAAGCTGGGCAATTCAGGGCTCCAGACTCATTCTTCCCACTGGTCGCTTTTTTGCGACTACCTTTCTCAGTTGGTTGCACGAGCATGGTTTTTTTTTTCCTACAACATGGGATTAATCAGTGCATGCTGATGAACTTTTTTCATGGTTTATAGTTATATGAAAATGAAAGTGGTTAACATTCAACCTGTTCTTTTTCCTCTTTTGCTATGTTATAAACAGGTGTCCTGACATTTTATCCTACCTGTCAGATTGTCCTACCAGGGTTTACTGCGCATACGCACATCAGTATTGCGTCCTTTTTCTCACACTAAACAACAATATTTAATGTATCTGCATTACTGTAAGGGTAGGATTAGGGTTGGGGTAGGTGTAATCTTTAATAAAACACAATCTTATATGTAGAAAAAAATAGTTATTGTTGGTTTCCTATAGTTGTATCCCTTCCAGCCACAACCGGGAATATAACATAATTACTGTATTTGCATTACAAGGGTGGGTTTAGGGTTGGGGTAGGTGTAGACGTTAATAAACCATAATTTTACAGGTAGCATTTTTCCTTGTTGAATTGTACTACCCACTGTTTAATAGGAGGTAGCAAAATCTGACAGGGTAGCACAAATCGACAGAACACCGGGCTTCGGACGATTTCGCGATCTTGTCACGTTTTACAATAAAAGATAATTGTCTGTTTTGCATACATCTATGCACCTTTCACTTTTTAAGACTAAAACAAAAGATGGATTCATTGTTATTTTTAATTAAAAAGCACAACAACAATAAAACAGTAAGATAAAATGACAAACAAGCTTACAAAACGTTTATTAACAAAAACGAATAAGATGAGGCATGGCATACACCACATGCTGATATTACATAATGACCAATAATATTCGCGTCCTCAGAGCCTGCGTCAGGCAGCACGGATGAGGGGGCGGCTGAGGTAACGAAAGGGGGCGATGACGTAGCACAAAGTAAAAAAACAACAACAAAAACATATGTGGCCCATTCACGTATTTGTCGGACCATAACCAAACCTGGTGTCTACTATTAGAATACTGGGTTCACACAGATAGTGTTTTGGTCACGAGACAGGTCAGAGGAAGTTTATTTTTTATTTTTTAAACCGCAAGGTCTAGAGACTTGTTTTTAGAAGCTGAATTTCTTTAAACTTGAGCGCCGCGTTTTAGATTGATGTATTATGTGCATAGGCGGAGCATGTGTAAGGCTAGGGAAGGCTTATCCTTCCCCTGGCCTGGGGGCTTGAGGCAAAAATGCCACTAACTTAGACAAAAATGCCCCTGCACAAACAAATTAAATCTATTACGTCTGTTGCTAACAAAATGAATATGAATAGACAGTGTCGATTGCGGCATTAAATTAAGATTTGCTCATGGTGCACCATATTTAATTTTAGGCGTTTTTACCGTGTTGTGCATTTTAACCAATCACACACAATTCTGTTGAGCCATTGAAGCCATTGAGGAATGCAATGGCCAATCAGAGGAGTTCAGATGAGTCATTGTTGAAACTCATCAGTTTTGTTGAGTGCGCGTGTGCGTTCGCTGACTGAATACATTAAATTAAAAGCTAATTCTCTTGCGAATTCTCTCATAATAAACAACAAAGCGCAGATGTATGTACAATGTAAGTAAGAGATTCATTCCACAGTGTATACAGCTTCAGTGATTATAACAATCTTTTTTTTTTGTGAGTGCTTAAACTTGCGATGGATCAATGTTAGTGATAATGTCACTTTCTATATATAATTTATTCGCTGTTTGAATAACCATGGAAAGGAAACATTATATAGGCTAATTATCAATTTCTAACGTTTTTATTAAATTGTAATCACGTTAAATACAAATTCAGTCCAATTAAACATTTTTTTAGCCTACATGACACCCATGTCTTGTTATTGTCTAAAAAGACGGGTTTATGATGTTTAATACATTTGGCTGCTTTTAGCCTTACCCCGGAGTTGGTTCACTCTTCGCCTGATACAGCCATACAGTGCTCTGGGTAAATACCTATGGTAAATACATCCACATCCCCACCCCCGCTCCCCCCACTGGTACGGTCCAACCGGGAGCGCAAAACAGAGAAGAGGAAAATCAGAATAATGAGTAATTTTTTATGTTAGTTCAAAAATCAGATTCGGGTGCAACAATCCAAACTCATAAAATTGAAAATTAAAATGAGAGACCATTATTCGTTTGTAAATTGCTCCAAAGAAATTGAAAATGAAATTTTGAAGCCAACTTTTCATTTGGTTCATTTTGATGGTGCGAATTGAACAAAGAACTGCAAAGGGTTACACAGAATAATCCGTGTATCATTCGATCATTCGTTTTTTTATTTAATATTGAAAGCAGAAAAATTAGAAAACGGCTCCTTTTTCGTGTTTTCGTTTTTCTCCAAAACACGAAAAACGAGGATTCAGCTTAAATTTTCGTTTTTCGTTCTTTGGTGGAAAAATTTATAAACAGCTTGAATATCGGATTTC